TCACAACATTCTGAGCTCTGGAGTTAACTTCAGATGCTATATGAAGTTACTCAGGTTGTTAGACTCTTAACATCTTTCCGAGCAATACCTTTATTGAGCTCTGCTCAAACTCATTTTTGAGTGGATGGTATTGTCCAGATTTTCTCTTTCATCTCTCCCAGCTTCGGGATGTCGAATTGCCTCGGCTATTCCGCTCTTTGGGAAATCCACCACACAGGACTCGCGTTCGGCACCTCCTCGGGCTCGCTAATGGACTCTTCGGCTCGATGGGCGACACACAAACGCACACACTTGACTCGAGGAAAAACACGAGCACGGCTGCTCCTAGCCTTAGCCAATCGTAAAAGTTTTGTACGTATTTAGTACAATTTCGGGATTTGGCAGGATGTAACGAACGTGTAAGAAACAGAGCGCGTCCTCCTTTAGCCGTGTGTGCGATAATCAAACAGCAAAATAAAAAAATATAATCGAAACAAAATTCGTAAAAAAATCTAACAAATCGTTTGGATACAATATTCAAGTGATATAGCCGAAATACATGATATCACCACGGATATATAATGATATAGCAAAAAGAGAAAAAAAAAGTCTTTTAGGAAATCCCGGCAAAGTGATTTTAGTCAAGTTAACCAAAAACCAAATCGTCGAAGTCTTCGGCTTGCCTCGGTTCAACCCCCGCCCCTCTCCTCATGTTGTACTCGTATGTGTACTTGTTTCTGTGAGCGTGCTTCTTGCCGCAAGCCGGTTAAAAAATATTTCGATAATTACAAACCACCTCAAGTTGTGGGTGGGAAAATTTCCGTGAAACGCGAAGCATAATTAACGAAGAATAACTGTGGATGCCGATAATACCTGGCAGATAAATCGGTAAAAATTTAAAGAAGCACAAGAAAATTATCAGAGCCTTTGTGTGTGTGTGTTTGACCTGGAATTTTTTTATGAATAACGTTAAAGTCCTTAACGTTTTGGCCCCAGCTAATAAGAAACGCCAATTTTGTCCCTATTCGAGATGGAGATTGAAACGATTGCCCAGGGAAGAAAATCTTTCGGTATCCCCCCATCCAATTCTTCAGTAATAGTGTCGTTTCCTTTATTTGTCCTTTTATGTTTACCTTTTTTTTGGGTAAGCTCTCCCTCGTTTCGTCGTGGTTTGGTTTAGTTTCCTCGCACACAATTGAAAATTCAATTGATTTACAAAATGAAGTTTACTGGTTGGGACGACAGATACTTTTTATCTATTTTCATTTGCAGTTTTACGAGCTACTACCATTTGTGCCATTTTTTTTTTCTTCTTGGCTTAAAGCGAAACTGTTGGCAATTTTTCACAGTTCCTTTTTGGGGGTTGGAGGTCCTGGAGGGGTTTTCTCTGCAGTTTGGTGCGAAAATAACGCTGCGTCCTAGAAGGATTGTTGCGGCTGATGTTTTCGTTGGTTTCCGATTCGGGTGTGCCGAGTCGAGTGTGCGTTTGTGATTGGAGCGGCCTAAAATCGTTTTAGGACCAGCTGCGAAGTGATTTTCAGCTAAGGCAAAAAAAAAAAAAAGAAATACGAAAAAGTACAAAAATAAAAAAGGCCTGCAGTGTGTGGAGAGTGGGTCCTGCAGATTGACATAGTTATGTCCTCGGCGAGTAATGGGAAATCCTTGGCAAGAGCTCAAGAAAATTTAAGTTTTCCTTTTGCGCTGCCCTTGCCAGTGCTAAATCAGATTTTATACTTAAAGCTACAATGTGCAGTGCTGTTAACTTCAGAGTTGTAAAAGGAATTTTTAATAATAAATAAATTGTGCTTAATTTTTGCAAGGGTTTTTCTTGATAATAAACTTGAGGACTGACGTTAAGCATTTAAAACCGATTTCATTTATAGTTTATGAATACTTTATTATTGGAGAACATGAAAACAAACTAAATGTAATATTAAATTATTATTTGAAAGATATACTTTACTTTTATAAGTCACTTTCTATGTTTCTCAATATATGTTTAATAATGATGATTATATTACATTAACATTAAAGTTCTCGAATTTAATCCTTTGAATAACAGTCTTGTGAAAATGCCTTTTGAATTATTTAAGACAAAATTATGTACATTTCATAAAACCTTAGCGAGTATTTAGAATTTGTTCTATTTGAGGAGCAACTTAAAGCCAGCAAAAGGCATTATACAACACAACTCAGCCTCACATGTCTTCCACTACTTGCCTCAAGAAACTTTCTCCGTTTTGGTGTCAAGAGTTTTTATTAGAACTAAAGGCGTAAAGAAGAAAAATTGCAGAAAAAAGTTCCATTCACTCAATTTTTTTTTTCATCCCAACTTGAAATGAGGTTCGCTACAAAAATGTTTTTTCCTGCGCTAGTAGAAAATGATACGTATACGCCATGTATGACGAATACCATAAATAGATTGCATATAAATATAAGGAGAGCTTTTTGGGTTGAATGAAGCAATCATAAGATCTTGTTGTCGACAGCAATAGTTATAGGCTAATTTATGGTTTACATTAGCCTAATTGAAATTATATTGTTTTATATATATCATTCAAAGGCTAAAACAAATGTGCTTAGAGGTTAATTAGGTGCTGACCGAGTTGAGATAATTATGCAATTTGTACGTTATATATTAATTGGTGACTAGTTCTAATGATTGAAAATAATAGATAGATAGGAGTAACCATTTCTCTTGGGGAAAATGTGAATAGGTCTGCTATCCTTATGGGCCTGAGTTAAAACCAATGGAAAAGCACTTCAACTAGAGCCCCCTTCTGTCTGTTCAAATAGCGTTTTACCAACCGTTCGTCATGGCGTGGTTGGCGCTATAAAGGCGGCCGATTGGCCACACCCACGCTTTTTCCACGCTTGTTGTTGACGTTTACAATTTGGTGTTGAAAACTTCAGCTGGAAATTGGGTAATACTCGCAATGATGGCGTTGGATGGTTGGATGACTGCATCGAAATCCTGCATTAAGTACCCCCGTGTCTGTATGTATGTGTAAGCGAAGGGGTTTTGCAACAAAGAAATTTTAATTTATATAGAATGAGTTTGGAGGGGGCGGTAGGTTTGTTGGGTAGGTTGGTAGGTAGGTAGGTAAATCCCTCCATTTCATATCCCTTTGCTGCAATCGTCAACATTCCGATGTTCGTGTTCTGTACTCACAGTGCACTTATTCACTCGCACATACACTCACTTGCATACCAACGAAAAAAATCCAATTATTTTAAAACTTTTGACAACTGCAACAACAACAGCAGCTATGAAAACAATAAGAAAACTGACTGAACAGCCAGAGGCAACAAAAACAATATATAGGAGAAAGTCGAAAGTCCGCAAAAAATCAAGCAGAAAAAAAAGTAGAAGAAGAGCATGAGTGGTTGAAAAGGGTTGCCAGCCATTATAACTTCACTTGAAAAGTTTAATTGATTTTTACAAGTGCATATATAAAGAGGGGGATGGTTGTATGTATATATGGTATGGTAAGGATTGGGGTATTGTGAAGGTTCAGGCCTACCTGCAATCGTGATTTTTTTTTTATTCGTTCAGCTAAGTGGGTCTATAACTTGGTGTAAACAAAGTAGATGCAAAAGAGCTGTAGAGAGGGTAGAAAAGAAATCAAAAGTAGCATTGCCCCCATGAGCTGAGGTGCAAATTGGTTAGGCTCTTCCAATTGGTTTGGCTTTTATAGTTTGTACAATTCTTGCCTGACTTTTTGGTTTTTTATTTTCTTTTTTCCTTCTATTGGACTGTTAAACCTGACTTTTTAATTGCTGCTGAGTGTGCTTCTGTTACTGTAATTATTGGGTTAGCCTTTGAGGGATTTGCTTTTAGGTGATTGCCTTAATGAGTGCTCAACGTTAGGCCAAGAATTTGGAATTAGTCAAGGAACTGTGATTTACTTTGTTCGCAGCAAATCGTTTAACTGAATTTCTTGGGATCGCATGTGCATATTCTGTGATTTGGCCACTGAAGTTTACAGACAATTTAGATGGCATCTTGATTTAGATTTCCTTTATTTTTATTTTCAAGGAGCTGGTACTTTAAATAAATAAATTTATTTGCCACATTTTGGATTGATTAAACTAAAATTGATTCTGTCTGCTTAAAGGGTATTTGTAGGATAAGGATTTAAGAAGATTAAAAATGTATTCTTGTGCGAGACAAAAGTTTAAATCAAAAATATATTTAGTTTTGATTTCTGGAAGCTAAACGAGGCCAATGGATTCACATTTTTCCCCCTTTGCCACAAAACCACACACAAAGGTCTCTGACAATTTAAGCCAGGTCGACTGACTTTTATCCTTAACAATTGTTTTTCCTTTCTCTCTTTCTCTCTCCCCTTTCTTCTGTGTGTCATTTCTTTTTGCAGGAACATCAAAACGGCAACCAAAATTGAATCACAAAAAAAAAAATACATAAATAAATCAATAAGACAAAAGAATAAACTGCATATCTCAGATTATATTTTAGATATAAATCATATAAATATAAGAGTTCTTTAAGTATTAAGTACAGGTTTAGGCAGGTAAAGGTATTTGGTCAGATAAGTAACAACAGCTTCCCTCCACATGGTAACCATAAAATGATGATACAACGACGACTGAAATAAAACTTGGCTCTTGGAACTGCTACGGAAAATGTCGACAACAATCAATATGTGTGATCAACAACGACAACCATTTGTACAACCGAATGCGACGTGACGACAACAATTGCAAATATTTATAACGCATACGACATGTTGCTATCATGCCAATAATGATGATGACATCGCATTTACTAACACATCTTGTAATATCCGATGATTTTCGGCTTGCGAAAATGTATTTAACGAACGATTGAAACACTCATATAATACTAACTACGACTATAAAAAAAATCAATAACTTAACTACAAATACAAAACACACTGACAACCCTACACTGACCCACAAAAAAATAAACACCCCACTTGAAACAAATTGTGTTGATTTTCCCTATCGACTTTCAATTTTTGAATTGGCACCTTCAGCAAAAGCTTAAGTGCCATTTGGCAAAAGAGTGAGTCCGTCAGCCAAATAGTAAGTCTGACAGAGACATAGCCTGTGTAAATAAAAGCATTTAAAATTATTAAGCATTGTTGTTGTTGTTACCAACGGTCGACACCCCCAATTTCCGACTATACAATATCTATATATTGAAAATAATGGGTCTGCAGATGACAGCAGCCAGTCCATTTGCAGCTCTCAGCCTACTAGTGTTGTTCTTGCTCACCTGGACCCCCACAATCGTCGATGCAGCCCGTAAGTATTAGCCTTAAATTGTTTTAAAAACTTTATTAATATTTTTATATACTTGACATTTCTTTTTTTTTCTGGTCGGCCATATTTAAGCCGCCACTTTACACACAAGTTAGGCTAAGTTTACGTTAAGTTCCGCTCTTAATTTGGAACATTCTTGCCAGCGAGCTCAACTTTCAAGTGGAGTTGAGTTTACTTGGATTTCAGCTAAAGTTCGCTCGGCTCAAGTGCTAAAATTAACTTGGACGAGCATAATATTTATAAAGCTCAAGCATTTGAAAATGAAAGAAAAGAATTTTAATCAGTTGAAGCTCAAATTAGCCAAAGCAGAATCAGGAAAAGGAAGTCTTGAACAATTTTAATTAAAAGAAAAGGAGTTTGATGGCGATACCAATATTGTTGTATATACTTACATACTTGGGTTGATATTTTAATTAGCACGGTAGACTCGTCTTCTGTGGTTTTAAAAAGCATCGATTTAGTTATCGTTTCATATTGTGGTATAATGGTATGGTAATGGTATATCATATCATAATAAATCACATCATATCATATCATACTATCTAATATCATAATGGTATATCATATTATATTATATCATATCATACTATACAATATCATGTAATATCATATCATGTCATATTATATCATATTATATCATACCATGTCATATCATATCATACAATGTCATTTCATATCATATCATATTATATCATATCATATCATATGTGGTCATATCATATCTCTAATACATCATAGATCATATAATATCATATTATATGATATATCAACCCCATATCATATCACATTTTTACTTTGAAATAAATATGTAACTGTTATTTGCTTATAACTTTAAACCTATAGTGTTCTTATTTTTAAATGACAGTCATATGTGGGGGTCTATAGTCTAGGTCTCTGTGAATAATTCCTTGTAAAGAACCCAGTTCTCAAAGGAACCCTGTTCCGTACTCCTTTAAGAACCCATTTCATTTCACATTCTTGCTAATTAATGAGCACAGAATTTCATAATTTGCTTTGCTTACATTTCGAATTCAATTACCAATTCCGCCTAACCAAAGTCCGGCCCCACTGGAAGTCATTTTCGTCACTTAAGAGAATGGAAAAACAAATAACAATCAAAGTGTTGACATTTCAGAATTGCAGTCAAATGTGGCTCATATTTTGCAAGGCCTTTTGTGGAAATGGAGGTGGATGTGCAAGTGGAAGTGGAAGTGGAAGTGTCGAGGCTGACTTGTGCCTCCTGGCGCTATCCACTCGCCGTGGCACTTACCTTTCATAGACGCTTCATTTCATTTCACTGGGGGTTGCAGAATGGAAAACTGGGGTGCTGGGGGTGCTGGGGGTACTGGCAAAAGCGGTACGTGGAGCGATAAACAAGCTGCAGGGGACGACAGAGTCAGAAAAACAGGGCAACACAAACATTGCACATCCTGATGTATTTTCTGGTTTTGTTGCCATTTTATTTGTTGTCGTTACTGGGTAGCTGGTAGCTACTGCTTTTGCTTTTGCCTGCTTTTTCCCCTGGTTAGCCTGCAGTTTGCAGTTTGCAGTTTGTCGCACCTCTTTTTGTGTATGTGGCATTAAATTGAAATTTATGCGGCACTTTGCCGCGTGAAATGTTTGTACAACTCGTTGCGGGTTGCGGCTAGGTCCCTATTTTTTTTTTGTTTTTTTTGTTTTGTTTTTTTTTGCTGCCGAAGCTCTTCGGGCGTTGACAGAGCGACAAACTGTTGGACAGCAGCATTGCAGGCGAAAGTATCTAAAAACATATGCAAAACTGTTTGCTGTTTGCCATGTAAATGGTTTTTGGGCCCCTGACTACCGGCTTTTTGTGTTTCGTTTTTTTTTTTTTTTTTTCTGTTTTTGGTTTTGGCCCGGCTTCCACCCACTTTTCGGCCAGCTAATTTGTCGTTTGTTGAAAATTATGACACAAAAGCCCCGCTTGACAATTGCCGACTTAACTCAACTGTTGTCCAGCTACGAAATATTTCACGCAAAAGGCAACTTATTTCACTTTTGGGTTTTTGCAACAAGTTTTAATTAATTTGCCGCAACTCCGCAGCTCCAATGCTCCAATCTCTTGCTTTCCTTTCATTTCACTCATCAGTGGCAAAAAAAAAAAAAAAAAAAAACACAAAATCGAGGAGCAGGAAAAAGTTGATGCTACGATAATTTGAAAAGTTTTCGTTTAGACAGCGAGCGCGGTCCAAAAAAAAAAAAGAAAAAAACTAAAAGATGGGAATGTGGAACAGCAAATGTCAGAACGGCCTGGGAAAATCGCTTCCTAAACTAAAGGCGAACGGCACTAAACTATATATGCGTACCCACCCATATAGGCTATATTAAGCCGCAAATAAATGCCAGAGCCATAATTAACATATAGCAAAAGTTTTACCACTCATCCCTTATCCCTTGCCAAAAAAAAGGGCGGAAAAGTGTCTGGATGAAATATGGTTAAAGTCGATTCTCGCTCGTGTTTGCTTTTGTGGGGAGAACTAATCCGAAATTGATAACTTTCGGCTTGATGGAGTTCGCCAAGCGAAAGGTAATTAAACAGCAGACGTGAGAGTAATCGGCTGGGTAAGGAAATTCCAAGGCAGGCAATCACAAATCAATTCCAAACTTTTCCCATGGATATATATTATTTTAGGAAGTTTTTTAGGATAGACCAATAATACGCTTAAAGGTGAATTAGTAAATATTTTTTGTTCAGCAATATGAAAAGTGGAATATTATATTTTAAATTACGGAAGGTTAAGGAAATTCCAAGGCTGGCAATCACAAATCAATTTCAAACTTTTCCCATGGATATATATTATTTTAGGAAGTTTTTAAGGATAGACTATGAATACGCTTAAAGGAATAACCCACGAATAAGTAAATATTTTTAGTTCAGCAATAGGAAAAGTGGAATTATATATTTTTAATTATAAAAGGGTAAGGAAATTTCAAGACAGGAAATTACAAACCAATTCTTAACTTTTCCGTGGGATATATATTATTTTAGGGAGTTTATATCTTCCTAACCTCTCAATATACTCAAAAAATAATCCATAGATTAATAAATATTTTTAGTTCAATCAAACCTTTTCGGATAAATAAATATATTCTTTTATGGAATTTGTATCTTTCTATAGAAAGGTTATAACCATCAATACGGTTAAAGGAATAACCCATAGATAAGTAAATTTTTTTAAGTCAGCTAAAACAAAACTGGGATTTTATGTTTATATTTATAATTTTTTTAAAGTAGTTATTATTAATGCTAAATTCCAAATGGGCAGTTTAAAAGTTACAAGTTAAAATTGTGCTTTTTGAAAAAAAAACAAAGATGCAAGAAGTCTAGAAGAGTAGCAAACTTAGCTCTTCAAGAAATGTGAGAACGCCCATCAATTGTATTTCCTGGCACTTGGGCAAATGGTAAATGGCCAAAAGCAAAAGCGTGTGCAATTTGCTAATGCCGCATATCATTATATTAGCAAACATGCCATATAGAAATGCTCACGTTACGCATATATGTATCTGAGTTGTTCCACAATAATAATGTCCCGACATTTATCACATTTTTTCGCGTTGTTCGTCGACGGACAAGTGACCAGCTAAAGTGGCTCTAAAATTTCAGTGCCCAAATGAGTGGAGGACCGCCCTGTCCGCCCACCTCCCACTTAGTGGGTTACAAAAAGTACAAAAAAAAACGTAACAAAAAAAAACGTAACAAAAAAAAAAGAAGGAACGACGGAAGAAAAGACGGAATGAAAGAAAGATAAATAAATGTTGGCAACAACAAAGAGCAAAGCGCCATAAATCTAAATAACAAATTTTTACGAGAAACGAGACCATAAATAAGATGTTTGTTGCGGCCTAGCGAAAAATAGTGTGGACCCCCGAGGGGGGATCCCCGAAATGGTTTTGTTTGGACCTCATCCCAGTTACCATTTCCCATTTCCCAGAGGTTGTCTCTGGCCAAGCGGCAACAATTCACCAGAGTTCTGTTAATTTAATATTATTACTTTTTATTACAAGGACCCTCTCTTCCTATCCCCAAAATGGCTGCACCAAAATGCTATTAGTTTTTTTTTTATTTATTTATTTTATTTATATGCCTTTTTGGGGGGAAGGCTGCCCCCTAAATGTCAACACATTATCTTGAGTGGAGACGGACGCTTTTAGATAAATCAACATTTATCTACCGCCATTGCTGACAATTGAAAATGACCGTCTGTATCTTTTGGCTAATTACGGCCTATTAAAAGCGCTAAATGTATTTTTGGCAAAGAGCCTATATTTATCAACATTAAAAGGAATAACAAAGTTGCAATGGAAATGGAACACCTTAAGATCTTAATGGTTTCATAGTATTAGATCTTGAGTTTATCAATAAAAACATAGTGTTTATTATTTAGTTTAGTTAATAGTTCTATGCTTTTCATAGAGTTTTTATTGTTATATTATTATTATATTGCATTGTATAATACAATATTATATTATTATTACATTTTATTGTGGTAATTATTATATGTTGTTATTTTATTGTAATATATTATTTAACATTACATTATATTATATAATTTTACGTCTCTAAAAGCTATAACTGTATGTAAATCGGAATTTTTTAATATTAAATTTACAAACATTTGTACATTTTTGTTAAGACAATTTAAATTTCTGTACTTTTTCTTTAAAGCCTTTAAGAATCTCTCAATGCAAATACTTGCATTTCACTTTTAGCTGTTTCAGGGACAATTTGGCATTTTTATAACCACATTCTGGCTGGCCACTTTAATTAGAAAAAATGTTAATTTAATGCTTGGCTGATTTTGCAGTTGACTGCTGGTTTTCGGGGTGAATCGGTGTGTTTTTCGGTTAATTTGCCACTTGTTCATTTGTTTTTACTGTGGCACACTGATGCTGGAAAGTATGCCACACCATCCGTGGCCATGAATACTTATACTGATATGTAGCAGCTACACTCACAACACGAT